GTCGTAGTCAATGGCTTCAGATTCAAAGGAAAGCCAGAAGCAGAAGTAGTCCCTGGAAGAAGAGATTCAAGTCAAGCAACAGGAGAGGACACACCTGGTACCTCACAAACAGAGAACAGCTCCAGGGTACACTGCCCATGGCTGTAGGAGCTGCAGTAGATCCTTCTGAAGGGAGCAACAGCAAATCCCAGCTCTGTCAAGGAGGGAATGAAAACATCCCTTGCCCACACCCTTGTCAATCCCCTCAGTTCTCCTGGTAGAACCAAGAACTACCAGCACAGCCAGTTCCTCCCCTGCACCTTTGCAGCAGATGAGAGAACTTCTAGGTTTTTCACAAAGAGATGGAAAAGGATCACAGACTGTGTCATTTTTAGTTACTTGAGGGCTTTACAAATCAGAACTGCTCTGCTGCTACTCTCCTACTGCTCAGGCTCCCTTCTCTTCAGCCACTTTCAGCATCTCCTTCCTACCAGTGGCAGTGCTTGTTGTGGCAGCTGTTGTTCCAGGAACTTTCAACCCAAAGCCCAGTGTCCCCAGGCTGGCTGTCCCCGTGGAAGTGGCACCAACTGCAAAGAGAAGACACCAGTAACAGGTTGCATAAGGCATGAAATGCAGGGCCCCTTGGCCAAGTTGTGCCCAGCCTGCTCCCCCCTCCCACTGCAGCAGCAGCAGCTCCAGCAGCCACAGGGAGCAGCAGCCACCGGCTCCTTTAGTGCCCCAGGGACAAACCTGCCCGGAGAGACTCACGTGAGAGGCCCGTGGTGGAGGAGGAGGAGGAGGCTGGGGCTGAAGAACTGGCCACCGATGCAAACAACGAGGTCCCCGTGGAGCCCAGCACTGAGGTGGTGGTGCTGGGGGTGGAGGCCGTGGTGGCAGCTGTGGATGTGACTGCAGAGACAAACAGCTCCATGTGCACAGGCAGAGCACACTGAGCTCCCACCCACCGCACAACAACCCTGCTGGGAGGCTGACACAAACTGCCCAGCCACACCTGGTTCTTGGCAATGTCAGCATTCCTCTTTTTCCTCCTATTCTCCCTCCACTCACTGTCTTTCACATTGTGCCCTTCAAGACTCTGCCTCCCTTCCACTGTGCTGCCCAAACAAGCACAGAACAGAATCTGGCATGTGGGACACAATCAGAAACACAGGACACACTGTCCAGTGGCTCTAGGAGCTGCCACAGGTCACCCCTGCCAGGGCAAACGCACAGGAACAAATGCTTCTGGCCCCTTCCCACACCCCAGTGCATTTGTCTACTTCCAATAGTCAAATACTGCCAGGAGGATTTCCCAAAGCCTTGAGGAATTGTTTTCCAGAACAGCTTCCTACCTCCAAGCTTGGTTCCAAAGGACAGGGTGGGTACCTGGCTGGTACTTGTGGTCAGCGTTGCTGTGGTTGTGCTGGTGGCTGCTGTTGAAGGCAGTGCCCCAAAGGTTAGACCTGGAAGCAGGAGCAAAAGGAAAAGATGTATTTTCTTCCTCCAGGCTGAAGAGCAATTGCTCCCCGCCACTGCAGACCCTGGACAGGCCTATCAGAAACAGCTCTGGCTCCAGCCCCTGGCTCCACTGTGCCCCAGCAGAAGGCAGAGGCTGCAGAGCTCCACTCCACCCTCAGATATCCCCATGCCAAAGGCTCCCAGCCCCCAGCTGCCCCCCCAGCCTGCTCCCCCACCTGTGGGCTGCCCCCCGAGGCTGAAGGGCGCTGCTGACGGGGTGGCCGCTCCCAGGGTGGCCGTGCTGGTGGTGGCAGCAGCCGCAGGGGCCGTGCCAAAGGTCAGCCCCGCGGACGTTGCCTGCGGAGCCGCGGTGCCGATGCTGAAGCCGGCTGTTCCCGCCTGAGTCGTGGTGCCACTGGAGAAGGTGAAGCCTCCTGTCGTCCCAGACGGAGCCGTGCTGGTGCTGCTGGTGCCAGCAGAGCCAAAGGAAAAGCCGGACGGGGCTGCTGCCTGACTCGAGGGTGTGCTGGTTGCAACAGGGGCACTAAAAGAAAAGCCCCCCGTGATTCCAGGAGCTGAAGTGACAGTGCTGGCTCCAAAGTTCACTTTTGGGGTGTTTGCCCTAGGGAAAAAAGAAAAGAAGCCAATCTGCTTGAGGCACACGTCCACTCACGTACACACAGCTTGTCTTCTCCCTGACCATTTGCTGACAGCAGAAACCTCCTTTCAAAGAGATGCACACCCGGCCAGGCCAGAATTGTGTCCCAATTCTGACAACAGACTCCATCCAGCTGCTGTCACCTGCCATCCCTC